TGGCATGCTTGATACCTGGTTTTTGATTACGCACGTGCTTTTGTGCTCTGCTGCGGGTTTTGCAAGTTTGATTAAGTTTCCTCTTGGAAGTGAAGCGTTTTTGCGGCACCCACATTGAGATCCGAGGACCCACTTGGCAGGTGCCGAGTCTCACAAGAAGCATCTCTGCACACGGCGACAAGAAAAGTTTATCATGCTGCGCCAGAAAGTGAACACCACTGGCCCCAGCATCACTTTCATATATTATAGGGCCTTCCACCCCAGCAGAATCAACCACAAGGAAACAGTGCAAAGGACAGGAGCCACAAGTGCCTGCCGAATGCCTGAACTCCTCCTTGAAACGAGGCATGTGGTGTATTTCGTAAGCTGAAGTTTCTGAAATGACAGGGTTACTCGGGTTTAGGGCTATTTTTGCCTTCAGGGTTTAGAAGTCTGTGCATATGGGATTTCAAGGTCTGGGTATAGATTTGGATGTCATTATGGCGTTCGTCCCCTCCCACTGTAGCAGGACGTCATTGTCATCTGCTCCAAAGGCTCCGGCCTATGAGATTCCTGTGGCGGCATCCTTTTCTCACTGCTGCGACGAGTGGGAAGTTCCGCAGGATTCGCGATGATTAGGTTTGTAGGTTTGGGCGTTTTCCGTGACGGCTTTTCGTGGTTTGATATGTCCTGTTAGAGTTTTTCATTGGGGTTACACGGATGTTGGCCGTTTGTAAACATGAAAATGCAGGTTTCCCTGCGAGTATTCCCAACAAGGAAGCTCCAAACATATGCTCCCACAGGCTTCTTAGGACATTCCTCGACCCCCTAACCCGGCCCCTATAGACCCTGACCTAAACCTGACATCCTTATACTCCTACACCCTAAACCCCTGCACCCTAGACCGCCCTAAATTGCCCCTGCACTCTAGACCGGTCTAAATTGCCCCTAAACCCTAAACCGCCCTAAACTGTACTGCCCTAGACCTCTCAATATAGCCGATGGAACGGTGTCGCACTTCACGCGGAAGCAGAGGCGATCGAGGCGTATTCGGAGCTGCGCAGGGGCAAAACCGGGGTTTCATGGCCAAAGGGGTTTAGGGTTTTAGGGTTTAGGGTTTGGGGCTTTAGGGCTTCGGGTTTTTGGGTTTAGTGGTTTGGGGTTCAGGTTTGAGGGTTTTGAGTTTTCGGCACTCATACTCGGACAATCCAGGCGAGGCATGTGGTTCGATGTATGCTGAGTTTTAGGGCTTTTGGGTTTAGGTTTTTTTTTTTTTAAGGGTTTGGGGGTGTTAGGCCTTCTAGGACTCAGGAAGTTTTTATGTGTTGAGGAGTTTGAGGGTTCGCAAGTTCTAGGAGGGCATTCGCACACCCTCAGGGTCCAAGTAACTAATACAAACTTGTAACAGTGTTAGAAACCATTCAGAGAACACCTCCTCGGGAGCCAAAGCCCTACCGTGTGGGACGCCCCTTTTCTTAAGCGTAGCCTGGGTGGATATTCGTGCTATTTCCGCTACAGCCTGTAACTTTTGCTTTAGTAAAGCTCGGCAAACCACCACACCGCCCAGGTTTGGCTCCGACACAAGCCAAACTGAGAAAAGGTAACAGTAACAGGGAACCGGACATGGGCAAACCTCCGGAAACAACTAAAATGTGGCCAACTTCTTTAGGCTTCTGGCTGAACTGAAGCCTTCGAATGCTGGGCTGTGCGCAATACTCCCCCCCAAACCCCACAGCCCTATAGGGTTTATAGGGGTGTAGGATTTAGACCTATATACACTATAACCGATTGAGAGCCTGCAATGCCTGCGAACCACGCCTTACTGTATCCCTTAACCTCACACCCTCAACAAAAAACCCAAACTATCAGGCCTCGGCCCACGATTCGAATCCCATTCCGACAAGAACACTGCAAAATAATTGAGGGGCCTTAGTAATAACAACTGGGGAGGGGGCATGATCTGTTGTACTGTTAGTGAACAACCCCCAGCTGATGACAATTCCTCATAAGTTGAAGCCCCCCCCAGATTCTCTACAGACCCAAACTTCACCCAAACGGTTGTTTTGCCTTGCTCCTCTTGCCAAGCAATCAAGGATTCGATAGGTCGACATTTGTAGGAGCCCGGAATGGAGCCATTATTTTTTGTGGGCTCTTTTCCACGATTCGGGGATTAGGGTTTACGCTCTCGCAACTGGGGATTAGGGTTTGGGGCTTCAGGGTGGTTCTATGTCAAGTTTAGTCTAGAGTCACTTTATTTAGGTGCTTTTGTTGCGCCGTATTTCGCAAGAACATGCCGGCAACGTAGGGTTTGGGAGTTGCGGGAATCCCGGCTCAGCGACGGGGTACGATGGAGTTGAGGTCGAAATTTCTGCCTATATAACCCCCACTAAGCCCCGACAGAAGTTAAGCTGTTTCAGGACTCATATCAGGAAGCCATAACAAGGAACCCTAACAAGGCAAGCCTCTTAGGGCACAGCTAATGTCAGGCTTGCGCTCAAACCAGGATTGCGCGCCTGCTGAGCGAAAGCAACTGAAACCGCCTTGAACCCTGAACCGCTAAGTCCCGAACCGATGTCATCACATACATATGAACATCACATGTATAATATATATATATATATATATATATACTATATATATACTATATATATATATACACACGTAGGTACATACATACATACCTACAGAGAGCATACGTTGCAGTGCATATCTATGTTTAAACCTCAAAGCCTGCATTGCATGAACCCTAAAGGCGAAACCCCCTAAAAACCCCCAAAAGACCTCTAGAACCCTTGTGCTGAAAAAGCCTCGACTTGCAAGTACCGGCAACTCTCATCCTCGGCTTCTCCGGATGAGGAAAGTTGGTGTCTCGGCTCAGGGTTTGGAGTTTGGAGTCTGTAAGGGTAAACCCTAAGCCCCAAACCCCCTAAACCCTAAACCCTAGAGGGTTCCGAGTTCCAGGCTTTAGGAGTTTGGGGGCACCTTGGAAACTGGGCAGACTTGCTTCCGGGCTCCTTTCAAACCGACCCACCATCAAGCAGAACTCAGAATTGCAAAGGGCCGTCGGAGTCAGCTGATGGTGTACCTGGGCCTCTTGATGCAGGACCGAGATCTACATTGCTAGAACAATATGCGGCCTGAATAAACGCCAATACTGTTCCTTAGTGTTCCGTGATGCAAGCTACACGATACTATACCCAAGCAATCCCAAACACCCTGCTTTAAGTAGCCATCCACCAAATTTGGCTTCGCGGATTGCGGGCGACTCGGTTTCTTTGGATTCCACAAAGACTTTGCAACGCCTTGATTCGACTCACTGGTTCCCATACCGGGCGTTCGGGAGGGTAATATAGGGGCCTTAAAAACTCGAAGAGAGTTTTGGGGCCCACTGTCCACTATACCATAATTAAAACAAGGAACCCCCCAAAACAGTATTTATATAAGCTCCTGTATTACTTAAAAGATCATGGGACTTTGTAACTGGGGTTAACATTTTAGATAATGCAACTACAATCTCAATGAAGGTACAGTAGAAGCCAGAAAAATGGAACATCGTTATCCTCGTAAGGTAACGGAAACCCTAGCAGTAGATCATCCTCCGCAATCCATGTTCCAACTTTCTGGGGTTCACTATACTCGGAGCAACCAGACAGGATGACTGACTCTAAGATTTTGTTGGCATCAGGTTCGGCTTTGGCAATCTCACACGGTTTTGGTGGGTTTAGGGCTTAGGGCTTTACGGGTTTGGGAAGCATTCGGAGGCCCAGGTAGAGGGCGTGCTGCGAGCTGCCGCACAAAGGCACTTTGTGCCGGAATTAGAACACATGAGGGCTGCCGAGCAAAATGCAGATGGATACGTGTCACAATCCTCATAGCGAGTTGCGGGGCACTTCGGTATCTTATCACCATGTGCCTGGGCCGACACTTGTGAAGATGACCTTTCCCGAAGGTTCCGAGCATCAACATTGACACACTTGGGCACTTAAAACCCAGCATGTTGAGGTTACATCAGCTACAGGATGGATCTCCGCCCGAGGTACAGCTTGACGGCTGAGGATTGAATGATTGTTGTAGTGCTCCAGAAGTCTGGGACGGTGCCTCAAAACTTGAAGATCAAGCTTGATGTAGACATTAAGTAGGCTTGAGGATGTAGGACGTCATCCATTGCAGGAGGTACATCAAGTCTTGAGTGGGCTTTAGTGGCCTTCAATACTGCGTTTTGCAACCAGCCCCAGGCACATCCGTGTTGGACGCCTTTCCGCAATTATCATGTACTTCATGCGGCATGCGTTTAAAACATCTCGGCCGGAGAACAGATCTCATCATGACATGTACCGTTCTGGGAGTGTAGGAAGCAGCATGCATCGTGGTCTTAAGCTTAGCGGCTTAGCTGAGAGTTTCAGACCGTCGGTGCAAACTTGTTCGTCCCTCGTATGAGGGGTTTTGGGGATTCCTTGTCATCAGTATAGTATGATGGGCCGCATAACCCTATTCTAATTATTAAGGCGCCTATATTCCAGTACCCGTATAGATCCCTTATAGTAGCCCTTAATAGACCCCGTTAAAGGAACATTTGACGGCTTCGAAGCTGCTGTGGTTGAACTTAGAATCTAACTTAGAATGTTTGAGAGACGCCGATTCCTACCAGATCGAAAAGCCCACAGTGTGCTGTCTCCAAATTTGGGTACACAGCAATCAAACCTCACTTGACCTTGTACAGGAGCTCCATTTGCCTACGTCCTTGCTTGTGGGGCTCCAACTTATGTTGTGCTAACCCCGGATTTGGAGCTGCAGGTCACCCTAACGGCTCCTTTTAACCTGAACTGCGGAAATCTCAACCCTGAACCACGGCACCGGAAATCTCACGTTCTTTGCAGCCCCCGGCTTGATATAGAAGACCTCATATTTCGAATCAGGCTCTGGTGTGCATTTAACTCGTAGTAAATATATTCGTGTGCAGCCCGTGATTTGTATTTGTTTTTTTTTCGCTTGTCAGTCCTTCGGTTTTCACCGAGAAAGCCTCAGCATCGGGCCCCCGCCGACGTAAGGGACGGGTGCTTTGGCCCGTAGAGCCAATAGACCTGAGGATGCCCCAGGCCCCCAATAGGGTTTAGGGTTTAGGGCTTAGGGGCCCCCAACCATAATGTAGATGGCCGAGGATTAGGGAATTAGTAATTAGAACTAGAATAAGGTATCGGTGGTTCCTCATTACAATACAATACACCCGCTAACCCGATTCTAAGTATCAAAGCCCTATATACACTAGATGGTGGGATCAGGTTTTTGGGTGCTTTGGGAGCTCAGGGTTTGGGGTTGAGTGCTTAGGCTTATAAGGGTTTCGGATGTTTGGGGCCTAAAGGCCGGGGGTTAAAACGCCTGATGAAGAAGATTACCCTAAACCCTAAACCCTAAACCCTAAGCAAAAGAGAAATACCTGCAGAAAACTGCGAGCGATAACGCGGAGTGATAACAGACCCCTTCGCTGAACTCACTGTTTTGACACTTTCTGCACTGCTCGACGCAACATCGGCCCGGCCATCCATCAGAAGCTGCACAGCATCGTGGTGGCCATTCTGGGACGCCGCCATCAACGGGGATGTTCCCAGCCAGTTGCCTTTGCATTCAAGAAGCCGTGAATTGAAATGCTACCAAAGCCCACGTGCTGACAACAACCAAAAACCCGAGCCTGAGTTGCGCCTAATCCTGAAGAGCACGGGGTACGTTCTTTGGCTTGGGGCTTTAACATAAGTGCACGTAGGTCATTGAGAAGTGTATGATCCTAGGAACCCAAGTGCTACACCGTTACAGGGCTCCGATGGTCCCTATATGCCTATGCATATCCCGAACTTACAGACTCACCTAGGGCTCCAAATGGCAAAATAGGTGCTGGAAGCCAAAAAGTAGGTGCTACTCGTTGGAGCCTTCTGGTACTGGATCTGGGAGAGTTCTCGGCCATGGTTGGGGGACTGTGAAACAGTCGAAGCCCTGCGTCGTTTTGCTTCATGCAGTCAACCTCCAAGCACCAACCATGAAACTATCGAGCCCTACAGTTCAAACCTTTAACCTCAGCACCGTCAGCCAACAAGAAGCACGAGTATGCAACGTGCAAGCTGAAAATGGACGAAAAAGGGGACGCGAAAACTTGATGACTTACCCTTACCCATTATGCAAATTATGTTAAACCTTTCCCAGCCCTAAAAGCCCAGCTGACATAGGGTTTGTTCTTCATTTTCCGGTGTTTGGCTACAGGTGAACCTTAAGCCTAACGCCCCACACCCTGTATCCTCAGCCATCCAACCTGTATGGCAGCCTCCACTCTGTACTGAGGGTTATTGCAGAAGAAGTATAGAGAGGGTAACTATATGGAGGTGGTGTTCAACCTGATTCGTCAGACCTCTGTCTTACCTGATGCCCGAGAGCTGAAAGATAAACACATCCAGTTGCGCACATTCACATCCACCCCGAGGCTCATCAGCACTCCGAGAACATCCTGAGTGCGAGGTCTTAAGCATTAACTGTTCCTTCTTCGGGACTTGCGAATTGGAGTTTCCGAAAATGGGGGACCCTACTATAGTACCCTCAATGGTCGGATTCTTTTTATAAGGACCCCAAAACGAAGGTACCCCTCTTTTTCCGAAGCTCCCAAATAGGGCATCAAGATCTACCTGGAGCCCAAGCCTTGCTTCAGTCTATTGAATCAATAATGCTCCGAAAAGCACTCTAAAAATGCTCCGGGAGTGTGTGAGGAATGGAGGTCTGTGTTTAAGTAACAAACGTTCAGAGGGAGCCCCGCATATGCGGAAATCGTAACGCTTGTTGGAATGCTGGCTGGGAGGCCTGACCTCTCTAGATCCGGGTCAAAAATGTTCCAAAACTCCATCCCCAAAGTGCTGCATTGTGGATCTTGTTTTTGTTGCCTCCCGCCTGTCTAGGTGGCTTAGGGTTTAAAGTTGGGGGTTTGGTTTTCGGAAGATGGAGCTCAAAATGCACGGCTTTGCTTCAGGCAAGATCGTTTTACAATATCTGGGCACGCGACGTACCGTAGCATGGAAGCTGGACTTGAGATTTCGCGGATTCGCCCTTCACTAGACGCCGACCCTAAGGCTCAAACTTGCTAAACGACCCCTTTCTATATCTATCCTTTGGACTGAAAGGCCTCTTTGGAGCCTTAATTATGGTACTGAATCAGGGCTCTTTTTTGCGCAGCACAGTTTCTTGCCAACACCTGGAAGGAAACGAAGATGCATGAAAGCCGTAAGTGAAAGTCATGCTGCCTGCATCCCCTACTTCGTTGCTTTTTCGGTTGCCCCGGTTACCCCTGCCTTCCTAACGAAGGAGCCTAACCTGGCAGGCTTGAGGCCGCTTCAGTGCCGAGAGTCCACCGCACCACCTCGGGCTGCCAGCAGCAAGGGGGTGTCACCGACACCGTTTGTGAGATTCCTTGCCAGGCTTGGACTTTGTTGGCTCAGCCTATGCCGGCCCGTCCCAGGCCGCTCACCCAGCACAACAGCCCAGCAGCCCGCAACCCAATGTGGTGGCAGCGGTGGGAGTAGTAGTAAAACAACGATATACTAGCACTAGGAATGCCCGGCGTGGCAGCACTAGCAGCAGCGGCAGCAGCAGCAGCAGCATCAGCAGGAGCAGGAGGAGGAGCAGGAGCAGCAGCAGCAGCAGTAGCAGCAGCAGCAATAGCATGAGCAGGAGCAGTAGCACTCACCTTAACAAAAAAGTATGCTTGGAACTAAAACTGAAGGGCCCAGAGAGAACCATATGGGCCCGGACACTGGCAGAATCGGGTCGCGTGGCAGGGGGTATATTACATATTCCTGTCTTTGTATACGGATGCAATACGCAGGGGGCCGATCAGACTTGTCTTTCCTGCTACTGAAAGTATTTGTTCAAGATGCTCGGCGGTTTGCGCTGATCATAAAGGTGCTGGTCGGATCATCCTGGTCATGATGAGCATTTCCCCCCATGGGGCCAGCCTCGTTCAATGGCAAGGGCAGTCAACCGAAAAGACATGCGGCAGTTTGCAGTTCACGTCGGGATGTGTCGTCGGGTCATTTGACGCGTTGCCCAGCCCTCCACGGCCAAATTTCCTGCCCCAAGTACTAACTGATTCAGGAGCGCTTTTACCCAAGTACGAGTGGGATTCAGGAGCACGGCCAAACTGCTTTCCCCTCGGTGACAGCACGGATCCTGTGCGAACACCAGGGCGTGAACACAATATCTGCACAACGTCACAGCAAGAGCCGCTTCCCGAGGAACTACGGGCACAGTATCCATGTCTCGTTAGAAAAACACTCAACGTTAGAGTTCATACGAATTTCGTTGGGGAACATGATCCGGACCCTGACTATAAGAACCCTGGACAAGCTAATCCTATAGCGTGAGAACAAAGATACGCCTGCTATGAAATGAACTGCATGATATTATGTGTTATGACCTGATGGGACATGAGATGAGATGGCATGACACTCTAAGATATGGTAAGACATGGCATGATATACGAGACGATCAGACGACATGATGTGGTATGGCGCCAGAGGATATGATATGAGATGAAGTGACATGGTGGTATATGGCCTGAAATGTTGTGACATGGTTCGTACGGTCTGGTCTGCCTGGCAATCCTTCGCACCGCCAGAAAGAGCGGTGTGATACTGCATTTTCCGCTGTGATGGCCTCGAAGGAAATATGCCGGTTTAACTCGAAGGCCAAGAATCACGTTGGCCCGGTGCTGGCATAAAGCGCTTGCCACGGCTAACTGGTTGTTCTGAAGCGCCAGAAGGAGTGGTGTGTCTCCTTCAAAATCTGGGATTTCGGGCTTCGGGCAGCGTAGGGCTGAGGGTAATGTAGGGGCCTTATAATAATTATAGTAGGGTTTGGGGGCCCAGTATACTATAGTTATCATAAAGAGCCCCCCAAAAAATACTATAGGTACTTATTCAGGCCCCTATAGTAGTCTGTCAAGGAGCAATGCCGGGATCGAAGAGGCCTCAAAGCTGCTGCCACCGGCTTTGGCACATTCACGGTATTCTCGGCTCACTTAGCCCTGAAACCTTCTCCCGAACCCCAAAAACTGCACCCGACTGCCTAAATCTCTGCATAATAACTCCTGAATGGAGAACGACAAGTCAAGTAAATACAGCCTCCATCTACAAGGCCTTTCAAAAAAATACAGCGCGGGTTTAGCATAGGGACGTCTTACATTCTGGGTACCTGGTTTGGGGTATTGTACTATGCACGGTCTACATGAGGGTACTTGCGACTCTGATTCTGTCATATCAGCAACCACGCGACACTCACGCTTCATTGAACCCGGAAGATACCTTGGGTTGGTACACAAGCTTTAATAATCAGAGCAAGGCCGCGGTATATTACATCATACTATAACTACAATAAGGAGCCCCTAAAAGCCCTCACCAAGCCCCATCCGGCCTGAAATGTTGCACACCTCAAAGACTTCGGGGTTTATGTTTCAGGCTTTGGTGTTTTTTTGACACTCACACTCGGACAAGCCTGGCAAGGTCTGCAGAAGTAGGTTCGAGTTCGGGCGGCTTTGGAGTTTAAGGTTTAGCGTTTTAGGTTTGTGGTCTTGAAATTCTGATAAACAACAAGACGGACATGATTAAGGAACTTCTTGAGCCTCCAAGAACTCTGGCTGCGGACCCTACTCATATCTAGATCCACGGATGAGTTAATCAGGTTTCAATACATCAGGGTTCCCTTACTGTAAACGCTGCAGTAAGCGGGCTAGCGGCTTGGGGTTTACGGGCTTGGGCGAAAGTTGTTTTCAGCACCTTCTCCGCCCGAGGGTTTCGAGTTGATAGGGTTTAGGTTTCAGGTTTGAGGGTTTTGGGGTTTAGGATTTCTGGTCTGTCAGTGGATTTCGGTTCGGTTAGAGGTAGAAAGACGAAGCCTGTGGGTTGAAGGGTGTTCCGGCGTTGGCTTGGGTGTCTGGGGCTTTGCGGCCCTGGGCAGGGCTCATAATTTCATGTATTCGTTTGTTTGCGGAGCATCAAGTCGCTAAGTCTTCGTGCTTCAGGATTCAAGTTTTTTTTCGGGGTTACCTTATCAT